TCATGGCAATGTAAGATCATAGAGAGTAACCCTCAAATTGTTTTTTGTAACCTCTGATGAGGGGCCAACAAATAAGGTCATTTCCGTTTTTATTGGTTTCATAACAGTTTTTGGTTTTAAACCTATCCTTATCAGCTAACGAATTCTGTGCTAATCGATGTTACTAGACATAGCTATGGTTGAGTTACTTATCAGTTCGATTTTGTTTCGAAACTTCATCTTATATATGAAACGAACCGCCAATCATATATAATTAAAGTTTATAATCTGGGTTGATTCTTCTGAAATTTTTAGAGATTTTTTCATTATTTTGATGCAAGCCGTACGGGCCAACATATCTTGATCTTATTTGTTTCGACACTGGTGAAGCACCTTTTTACCTTTGTTTGAAGTCAAATATCTGAAAGTATCCAGTTCATCGTGTGACTTTCTAGTGCACACTTCACTAGAATGCGAACATCCTAATACCGAAAATTGATGTTGTTGGAGTTGTAAAATAATCCACTTAAGCAGTAGTTTTATTGATCCCAGTAGGTTTAATTGTATTGTAGCAGTCATCTTCAAAGTCATACGCATAAGAATAGCTCCAACTAACATTCCATGAACTTTGAACCCATTTCTTTCTTTGTCAAGCTGTCATTGCCTCACTGATAGTGGGCGCTGATAATTGAAATTAGTATTTTCGAAAATCTTGTCCAGGTGATCTTATCTCTCTGAAAAACTTTGCTTTCCATTTCAACACACATTAGCACTCGCCGAATCGCAGCATCACCATTGTGCGAGCTGTAATAATCTCATAATTACTGGTCGTAAATCTAGGAATGGGATAGTTGTGTAATTATGTAATCACAGGTGACGAGTTGTTTATGGCGTGACCATATATAGCAACCTAAAATTCATGAATCACATATCCTGTTATATTTAACCTCTCTGTTATCGTTGTACACTGATAGCTAATGTTGATGCTGACAAAAATCTTCTCTAATTTGGGTTAGTCGAGCAGCTAATAATAATACCTGCATGATCATCTTTTTGTCAATCTCTTCCTCGTCTTTTTTACCTTTATTCTGTTTTAGAATGTAATAATGTCGTCAGTGTGGTCGATTCAAAACGATACTGTTAAACTCTCATGTTAATATTTTATCCCACAAAGTGAAAATTATCTGTTTAGCGGAAAAGCTGCAAATATGTCCCACTATTCTACAATCCCGTGGAGACTTGAAAATTTTTGATTGTGAAAGTACCATGTTGTAATGTGTAGCATTCACATAAATACCCCCAAAATAATCAAATCGGTCGAACTTCTTTTTTCAGGGTCGTGCTCCCAAAGTGAGACCCTCTCTCAAATTTTCTTTCTTGCAATTTTCTATGCTCTCCCCAGTATTACAAAATTTGTGTTCCTATTATATATCAAGCAACCTTTTTTATGTTACCACTGCTTCTTTTATTCCTGTTTCTATATTTTTTTCATCTTCTACCGCCAAAGTACAGTGACTTTGCGAAGAAAATGAACCTGCTTTTTGAGGTTTCCATATTTGAAGGACGGAACAATTACGATATCAACTTCCCAGCAGTTTCTGAGCTTAATCTACGTTTTGTAGTAGCCGCATGCTGTTCTAACCTATACGATTAGAAAATTGCAACAAAAAATGTAAAACTTTTGTCGAAAAAATTTTAGGCGGGTTGAGGGGGGAAGTGGTAGGGACCGGTGATTGGACTGGAAGTTCTCTGAAAATGAAGACGAAAATAATCAAAACGGTCCTCTATAGCTGATATATCGCGGTTCTAAATGTAATTGACCCTTATTGTCGCTGCCTTTCATTCTACGATAATTATTTGAGAAGAGAAAAGAGGCGGATTTATGTTTAGTCGCGTTCCTTCAGTCAGCTTCGCCTTCCTCCGTTGCGGATACAATTGTCCATCATAATCCAAAAATAGTCTATGCCATCAATTTCTGAACATTTTCGAAGAATTCAACTATTACAGGTGTACCAGCGTGTTCGCAGGTACAAAGTACGCTTGTCAATCAAACTTCTTGAGCGGACAAGGATGTGTCAAAGCTCCTACAATCATTACGTTGATTCAGTGAAAAAAAAAAAACACAGCAACGCCTCTGATAACGTACAGCTAGTCATGGTCAAGTAAACAAGTCGCGCTTTCCGTCGTAAATCATTCCGATGCTATCGATCTCTGCCCGTGCTTCATATGGTTCACCGAATCAGCGATTTTCTTATTTATTTCGCTTCTAAGCGGATCGCGGACTCATGAAGTCTAATAACTGTGCGAATTCAGGCTCTTCTCACTCACAAAAATTTATAGTCTTTGAAACTAACAATAAGATGTGCAAATTTCGCAAATCGAGCCCTTAAAAGATAAGTCTATCCTCAATGATTTTTTTGGTTTTTTTTCTAGCTCACGGCGAGGTTCGCGACTCGCTTTAAAGCATGCAAATGTGCCCTTAATGTTTAGTTATAGAGTTCTAAAAGAGCTGTAGTTGCACACCAGGTTCATGCTCCCTTCATAAGTTATATCGAGGAAACAGAAATATCTGCTGTTCCGATGTTTTTTCAAAAAGGTGATTAAATTCCAAAAAAAGTTCAGAAATCTTTTTAAAGTTTGCATAATGAATTCAGCATGCTTGGCAACCCTGATTACACAATATTACAATATATATAACGATTTTCAACTTTCTTTGGAATTTTCTCATCAAACGGTCTAATGTACCATGGCAGTATAAACCTACCGTATTCCCACAGTAACGAAGAAAGATCGAAGATTTGCCCCATACCGTATATATAAATTAAGCCAGCTCTAGAAAATGGTACCTAAAGGTCTATAAAGGATTTCGAGCAGAAGAGTCATCAAAGATCGAACGTGAATATCTTTTTGGGACACCTTGTATATTGGAGAAATGTGTCGAATAAGCTAGCAAAATTAAAGAAGACAAACATTTTCGAATTGAGAAGTTGTCTGGCTGTGTGCCATCAAAGGCAAATATTTTGGTAATGCATTCATGCCACTTGCTCCGGAGTAATCTTAACAATCACCGGTGTAAAAAATGTGAGTTGTCCTTACCAAACAAACGAATTTTTCGTTTAAGCAGTCTTCATTACATTTCATTACCATTAGTTTCGCTGCTCCGTTGAAGCCTTTTTTACCTGGTTTTTTCATCGCCTTTTTAAATAGACTTATAATTGTCATTGTCAGTATTTGTTACTCCCAACACGTAGATAGGTGTTCACATTTTCTCAAAAAAAAGTCACGTGCCGATAACAAGAAAACTTTGGAGGCACCAAGTCGGCATGTGCATCTACCTTTAATGGTTGCTGTGTTGATGTTGTTTAGTTCCTTTCCTGATCTCAGTACTGACGTTTCCTGACCTTTGTCCTTTGATAATGATTCACTGACCTTCCAGGCGTAGGTTAGATGTCCATATTTTCTTTGAATTTTACTATACCGGTTCGTTGATGTGTAATATGAGCTAAACGCTAATTTCGCCTCTAAATTAGATTCTAGTGCGTTTAAAAAACTCTGCTCAATTTTACGCTATTTCAGAGGTCTAGCTGCAACTCTTGATGATCCATTGGTTCGTCTGATCACATTGACTTTTTTCTTCTCTCTTGCTCCACTTTCTCGCTTAATCAAGAAAACATCGAAATATGGGATTTATTGAAGGAACTTATGTTATCAAAAAAGAAACGCGAGTACAATAAATTGTCAGAAGTAAATGAACTAGTGGTTTCAGAAAAGATATATCAAAACAGTTCAGCTCATCTACCATTTTGTCATGTTCGCGATTTCATCTTGCGTGAAGAGAAAGTGCAAAACAATCTCCTTGGGGGGTTTGCTTCTGTATTTTCCTATTATACCAAATGATACCTTCAGTTACGCAAAAAGAAACGACTCGCTGTATGTAAACCTTTGCTTTTTTGTTTTTGTTCAATTCCATGTATTTTGAACACTAAAAAGGTTGCCACAACCTTGCCAATTGAAGCAAACCAGCCACCTCACGAATGACACACGTTTATTGCCGATTATTGAATTGGATAATTAACCCGTGACAAATAACTTTCAAATAAGTAAACTTATGAGTATATGAAGAACATAACGTAATATATGAGTATGAAGAACAAATATAAAGCAGGAGTGTATTCAATTTGCCATTTTACATACAAGGAATGAGCGAATAGAAAGGCAATACAAGCAATAAGTATAAGTGGTGGAAAATGCATGAGTAACAATGACTAAGTATATAGACGTTCACTTGCTGGCACCATCATTCGTTCTGCAGTTCCAATCGTTTTTGACTGTAGTGCGAGATCTTTTTGTCGAAGGGAATGTCGCATATGGCATCGTGGCTTCTTCCTTGGCATTCCGCAACTGGCTTTTTCCTTTAGCATTTGGTTGATTGCAGCGTGAACAGCGAAACGAATGTCTCAGCTGGTGTGAGGGGTCATCCCGATAACTCTCATGCATAATACTGCTCAATTGCATAGCGATCCGCGATAAGCACTGTTGTGAGATTTAGCATAAGCACTGTAACAAGACTCAAACTAATCATAAAAGCGATCGCTGTGTTTGACTCATTTTCAACAAACCTCTTAATTCAAAAAATTTCTATTTCTTAATTCTGCGCCCTCCAGAAGAAAATGTATTCTTATTGCCTCGACTTCTCTACCTCCTAGAAAGTACCCAAGTCTTCTTCTTTTTTTTCAAGAAAGTTGAACATCTTGTAAGATGGCTCAGCTGGTTACCGGGAGTGTAAGTATGAGATTTTATCAGGTGTTTTTGTCGAAGTTGCTAATCGTGCATTTTTTTTCTCGCGATACTTTCACTGTTCTCTTCTTCAGTTAGATCGGCTCCATGCAATCTCATTTTCACCCAACAATGAGCTCCTTGCGCCACCAGGCCTAGAATTCTTTATGTTTTAGTGTCAAGAATTAGCTCGTCAGATTATAACTGTTTCTTGAAACTGCTACATGTAGAACAAGCTATGATTCAGGTCTTCGATGACTTACGACTTCACTCGGGTGACTCAAGAGTTCTCCGATGATGTTCCCGAGGAAGCTCCACGAGGCAAAGCTCCTACTTTGAGCAGAGCGTCTAGCTTTGATTCCATTGATGAGGTAACCACTTTTAACTGAACAAATACTCTTCTCAAGACCGTTACCAGCTGCTTTCACCTTTGCGAATTAACTCAACGTCGCGAACACCAGCATCAGAACAGATAAGGATACGAAAAGAAATAAAACTATGACGTAAGAGCGCGAGCCATACCGCGGGATAACAAATGAGCTCGTTATGATATGCTCCAATATGTTCTATTTTACTGATTGCACAAGAACGTCTGGCCTCTGATCTAGGCCTGGCAGTATTTAGACTTGCTGTTCTTTGGGACAGGTAGAATTACATAAGCGAGTGTACCCAAATAGCGATTCAAATCAAAGGAATAATTTACCCCTTTCAATGACAATTGGTTGTTTGAAACCGAAAAGCTCTTTTCAGCATCGTTCTGTAAGCGATCACCTAGAAGTCCAAGGAATGATAAAAGATTGAAAGATATTGTAATCTCGATGACTGATGTTTTTCAGTTATCAAAGCAGCTTCCACGCAAAATGAGGGCTGTAAGATTTTCGATAAATCAGTGGTCACCTCCTATCACGTAAGCGAGTGTTCAGGTACAGAGGTAACATCACGCTGGAAGCTACCTTAGAAGGCCCGTCTACTCCAAGTTGGGGTTCTTGAGGTTTTGTGGCAACTTACGATAATATACTGAATCGCGGCTCAAAATGTCGCTTCGGAAGCGAGAAAATCGCTCGGAATAATGAAGTTGCATGAGGACCCCAAGTCAGCACCGCCCCCCCCCCCAGTAATGCCCGCCCATCCGTGCGCGCCCATCCAATCACCGTCCTGGAGAACCGGCCTTCGGGTGCTCCGGGATGGGTTTTGTCGGGTTTTCGGATTGTCGACTTCAAATCGGAGCCAGGGACATGAGAAGGCTCCGGAATGACCAAAACATAGAAGTAGAGAATGTGGGTGGACGGTGCTCCCTCCCCCTCCCCCCCCCCCCTCCCACCTTTCCACCTTATTTGCCCCCCCCCCCGACTCAATAGTTTCGGTATATGAGCTCGCAATGCTCCGTGGTGAATGGAAACGGTGCTTAGGATTTCAGTCCTTATTTTCCCGTCAGGGTCCCGCACAACTGGGAAAAAGGCAAGGGTATATCGTTTTCGCGGGATCTAAGCCCCTCAGGCTTCAATTTAACTAAGTGCAGCTCCTTTTTTTACCTGTATACCTCATATGCGTGTGCTGCTGAACCAAAGTGATGGGGACCACTGTTTTGCTCTCTGTACATAAAAAACAATTTTCCCAGAAACTTCAGCTTTGAAGATCAGCAACAAAAAGTGATTGTACAAGATTTTGTGAGAAGGCAGAAGGCTGTACGCAGATAAAGCATGTTAGATCACAAGCCCTGGTTATTGCGGGAAAGGCCAAGACACAGACGATTACACAAATGTCATAGCTACTCGAAGCGTGTAAGTATTGCCTGATTTACAGTTCTGAGTTGATTCAAACCCTCTTCCCTATCTTTCATTTGGTCTGATCCCTACACAAGCGCAGACAATACAACTTCTGCACCAAACAATGTTTTTTTTGCAAATCGAACAAAGCTGATTGTGATAGTGGAAGGTTCTAAAATTATTTTTGCGTTTGCAGGATGCCCCTCTCAACGACTACTATTCATCAGAGGAACTTGACAAACTGAGCAACTGTTTGAGCGAGGTAAGCGGTGACTAACAAACGTAGACAATTCGTATGGAAGCATGCCGATAAGCTGTAGTTTTCGCAATGCACTTATGGAGATTTATCAGCGTTAATGACCAGAGAAAGGTTTAGCGAAGTGGCAAACTCGACCTTCTTTGTGATTGCTAGTTGCAAGCAGCATCCTGCGCAGGTTTTTTTTCAAATGTTATATGGTCAAATTTATACACATCCAAAAATATGAAAACTTGATGCTTAAAAAGTGCCCTTGTAGATTGAACTCATAATCTCTTCCTCTGTTTGAAAGCGATGATTTCCTTGAGGGTTGTCTTTTGTTTGGGAAGAATGCCCTTGTTTTAAGGGCACCTTCCACCCTAAGTTGAGGGTGTTGAGCTTTTGGCAGTATGTAATAGTAGGGCCACACATCAATACAATGCCCAAGTTGCGGCGCAAAATGCCGCTTCGGAAGCGAGAAAATCGCTTCGGAATAGCGAAGATGCACGAGGACCCCCATCCATGCCCGCCCATTTGTGCGCGCCCATCCAATCACCGCTGCGGGAAGCCGGTCACTGGGTCCTCCGGAACGGGGATTGTCGGGGTTTTCGCTCATTCTCGACTTCAAATTCGGAATCAGGGTCACGAGAAGGCCCTGCAACGTCAAAAACGTGGAAGTCGAAAATCTGGGTGGACGGTGCCTTTAAGGGCCGTGTGCAGGTAAATCTATGAAGGCCACTGCAAAGCGAAGGCGCAGAGGCAGGGGTAGGAGAGTATATGTCGCCGAAAAGGGCGGTCCCCGCGGTCATTTGCGACAAATACGCGCCTTTGTATATGCGCGGACATGCGTTCCTGCAGGAAATCCGAGCGGGACTCTTCCACGTTCGGCGACATATAGTCCTCCACCCCAGAGGCAGCATTAGCTGAGCGGGCGCGAACGCGGCGCGCGCTGTCTTCACCGTTGTCCTTGCGCCTCATGCGCTCTGCGGCGAATCAAATCGCGTTCGCCCCTCTAGGTTTTGCGCCTTCGTTCGGCAATAGCCTATACCTGACTTCTTGTGAAAACTTTTTGAGAGTCCTTAGCTAGGCCACTGCCCAGGCGGCAACTCGTATGATTCATAAACTCTCGCCCAGACCGTATTTTTCCAAACGGACCATTAAGTTTGAGTGAGGTAGAAGGTGAGGTTTGGATGGAAACACAGAGTCTAGTTTCTTGATTTAAAATGAATCATATGAACTGCCACCTGGGCAGCGGTTCAATTAAGGCCTTACAAACAATTATGTCAGAAACTCAAGTACCCAGTATTTCTGGGCACTGCCTTTGCCCCGTTTTCCAGTCACGTACCGATTGTATCATGTTTTGATGTTGACGCTGGTCGTTGAACCCTCCGTGGGTTGCTTTGTTATAGATAGGGTCTTGATACGTCATATATCAGTACCGAAGAACGAAACAAACATTTCCTCCCTTCCGAACCCCTACATATCCTTGCGAAATTCAGAATTTTCTGGATTTGACTAGCGGTTCCTCTGCCTTTAGCCTCCTGTACAATTTGTCCCCGCTACTATCAGCAGCGTAATCTCTGCGTTTCCCACGAGATGTTGTTCGGCCAGCTGCGCGTCGTCCAAAGTGCGGATGAGTGTTCTCTAATCAATCGCGCGAAACCCGCCCAATCCCCCGCGCTGCGACACCCTCATCATTCCACATTCTTGCCCTTTCGAATGGTTGTCCTTCAAACATTCTACTCCTTTGCTGACACTATCGTCAAACAAGTCAGCATCACTTCGGATGTGAGTGATTAGTTTCTGTTTGATTCTCAAAAAAGGGAATAGGATATATGCATTTTTTTCTCTTTTTTATTCTATAAACTGAATCTGTGGAGGGTTATTGACTGATTAGGTCGTTCACTCTGTTGTTCAAGAAGGTGCTTCGGATTCGGAGTGGTGTATCATAGTATAGCTGGTTCACTAAAGTAATCCCTCTCAAAATCAGCATTTCTTCAATCCTTAGAACCAAAAATCTTCTCCACATCTTCCTGATAAGTCGTTTTTGAAAAAAGGTACAGAACTTTGTGGTTTTGCAATGAAGTATTTCTTTGGGCTGTGCGGTTTACGATAATTTTTGTTTCCCACTTTCTATACAAGGCAGTGTATGTAGGTTTTACATCATCCTATACAAAAAAGTATGGATCAAAGTCGCGATCGCAGAAATCTTCTTGTACTGGGTTGGCACCAAAAACCTATGCTCTGCGCGCTTTTGTAAGCAAATTTATGTTTTCTATACAAATGTATGGATTCGGCGATCCGAGCCAGCAAGCATTTGCAGTATTTTTTGGGAGAGGGTTTTAATTTTCAAAGGATTTGCTTTGCATCTACACAGTAAGCCGTCCTCTGAAAAATTTGCTTTCCGAGAAATGAAACTCTTCTTTGAGGTTATCCTCCTCTAATTACTGCGTCAAAAAATCAGAATCCGTAAACATGATTAAATTAAGCTGTAATATACTCGTTCAGGCCGCTTTCTTCTACATTCTACATGTACAGTAAATTTTGTGATAAGTAAAAATCTTTTCTCACAAGGCTTCCTTTGCTTTTTGCATCACCACCTGATATATTTCAAAATATGTTTTCGACTGCGAAAGCAGTGACTGACTTCCTCGATTTTTTGTTAGCATTGCTGCGTGGCTTTTTACAGCACCCTGTCAAAAACAACGACATCAACATTGCTGACACTTGATAGCACTAGCGCATACAGTAGGAACTGGATCTTTGTTGAGAAATTTCGAGAATAAAATTCAATTCTGTAGAATCTTGACGGTGCATAAATGCGCTGCAAGCGTTTATGATGATTAGCTTGGAAACTAAACGCCCAATAAATGAATTAATCAAATTTAGGTAGTTGACGTATGACTTGGTTCATTTATTTATTAGTTATTTACTGAACGCATCCATTGATGCGTCAAAGTAACGTGGTTATTACAAAAAAAGAAAACATCAAATAACACGAATAAAATCATATGCATCTCTAGTGGTCTTTCAAATATGGCCCCTTTTTGAGGTTTATGTGCATTTGTAAAAAAAATGAATATTTCAATAGTTAAAATTTCAACAGATTAGCTTGTTGATAAAGGAACAAGCTAATCTGTTGAAATCCAGATTACTTTCGATTTATCAGTTGCTTCAAAGTTAACTATTTGTCCTTAAGAAATAGATGCCAATACTTTTTTTTCGGAGTCACCTTCATTTTTGAATGTGGTTCTATGTGGGGGAAGGCTGATTTTTGATATGCTGATATAATCTTTGCACCATTGATTCTAGGGTCAAAGGTCATTCTTGATCAAGACACTCGTTTTTTTGCTTATCTTACTCTCATGGGTCCAGAAGTACTCGTCAGTCTTGTGACCTTTTCTTATGCTTGCGATTCAAGTGCACTTTGAGAACGGAAACATGCTTGACACACTTATCAGTTTATACATTATCGTCTACTATGATTTTGAAATCTAATACCCAACTTAGTTCCCAGAAATGGGTAAAGTGGAGGTGAATGACCAGGGTTGATAAAGCCACGCTGTTGTAAAATGGAGGAAAAGAATGATGGGAGAGTTGAAGAATTTTTTCTTCCATTTCTACTTTGGTAATGGTGAGTCGAAAGTGGCTACCCATCCATTTCACCCCAGGGCTTACAAGACCGCAAAAATATGGAAAACTTTCAGAAAATTCACCCTTTGAAGAGACCGCAATATTTCTGAAAGTAGTCTAAATGTGTTAATCATTTGCAAAAATAACTTGTCACCTGTAACTTGATTAAAAATACCCTAATTTCACGCGCGTAAGGCGCACTTTTGCGATTTTTCAAGCTAGCCGCTCAGCCGCTTCACTGTATTCCGGAAAGAGATCTTTATACCGCACGATTCTCTTAAGCAATACACAGCATGTTATAGGGTTCTTGGTTGAAAAGTCTCTTGGCGTGTCTGGGCTAGTCGATTTTCGAAAAAATCTCCCGCGCCTTATACGCGTGAAATTAGGGTAATTTAGATCTCTTAAGAAAGAGAAAGTAACGCGTCGAGAATCCTTCTGTTACCATCAGGTCCCATTTTTTCGAGTTAGGGCTTACAAGATCGCATAAATATGAGAAACTCCCAGAAAATTCTTGATAGAGTTATTTCCACCTCTTTCTTCAGAAAAATTTTTGGCGCGACTCTCCTTCCCTTCCCCCGCCTCGAAAATTTTTTTCTGAAATTGCTATTGTTGTTGGTTATTGAATACAATGAAACAAAAAATAAACCCTGATTTAAAAAATAAACATCTGATTCTGATCTGTAATGGCGCAGTCCTATTTTTGGATCTCTTCAGTTTATGGAATCAAATTCAATTGTAAGAATTAACTCATAGAGGATTGAATCTCCTTTTCTCCTAATGTAAAGGGGAACGGATGTGGAGTTTCGGTCCCAGATTCGGACAAAACAATATGAGGAGGGATTTATCGAATTTTTTTTTGTCAAAACTAAATTGCACAAGAATTTCTAACTATCTATCCGAGTCAGAGATCACTCGTAAAACAATTTTTCCCATCACTGACAGTCGGCAATGGCGGCGGAACTTCGTACTTTGCCCCCTAGAACTCGTATTTATAGCGGAAAATCCTATTACATCGATATCCTTGCACCAGCGACTGTAGTAAACTACAGTTTTCTTTTCCGATACCCTTGAGAGCAATTTGATGATGTGTTAGCAGCACATGTTCAAGTCGGCTTGTTTATTGCCTCGTCGTTATCGACAATCACCTGCCACAGAAACGTAATTTTCTTCCTCGTGGGTTACTATTTTGAACTCAAAAAACAGATTGTGTGGCCAGTGGTATTCTGGCTTCCTAATCTCCTCCTGTTATGGCGACTCTAGTTCTTGACACGGACACTATGCTAGAGTATACCAACTCTGCACTGAGTTATTATGCCAGTCGGTTAGGGGTTACTGGAAACCATGCGGTGATTCTTATGGTATTTATGGATTGTAGATTGACTTTGTATTAAGACTTTGACTGAACCTAAACAAATTTCCAGGTGTCATCAGATCCAGGCAAGGAACTCTCCACTTCGGTTTTGTACGATGTTTTTCAAGCTCTGGTAGCACTTTGGACCTGTGTGTTCTCTCTTCTCTACTCTTACGCATGGCGTCAGCACAGGAAGAAGTTTATCATGAGCATTGTGAGTTTGTGTTTCTGCATTATCTATGATTCGGGTTGAAACGGTCCTCTTCATTTTGAAGAAGCATAAGTAGTTTCTGAAGTGTGGATACAATCCAAATAATAAATTCGAGACTATTACCTTTTATGGTAAAAATGCAAAATATTCTTGAATGTCGCTCTCACTCTGTGGAAAGGACCTATGCTTTACGGATAGAAAATTAGCACATCCAAGAAGACATCATCTGTGAAGAGATGTTGAGGCTTTTTTCAGTAGCATTGCGTATAACTCATTAGGGAATAGAATAAGGGATAATCAACATAATTGCCCGTTTAACTTTCACTCTACATAATTGGTACCCAGCAAGTACTAGCTTTTTTTGCCTGTAAAGAGAGTTTTGTCTTTTGCTTTCAGTTGGGATCATTTGCATTTCGCTTTTTATCACAGTATTCAAAAAACCAAGAAAATGCAGCGGCAGAACAAACATTAGATACACCTTTTCATAGAAGAAATTTCATAAAAATTTCTTCCATGTCGGATCTGCGACTTTAGGCGGCTTTGAGGTCAAGTATGGGCGCGAGGCGGGTGGCGAGCAAGAGGAACGATAGTTGGTGGGTGTCAATAACTCGCGCATACTTCACCGTCATTTTTGTCCATCTGCATACAGAATTTTTGAACATTTCCTTCTTTTATGCTTTCATCTAGACAAGAGAATCGCATAGATTGTGTTTGCTAGAAAATGGGGTGTGAAAATCAGCTAAAATGTCAAAAAAGGTCTCAAAAGTGAAACTTCAAGTATTTCAAGCTTATCCCTGCAAGAACATCACCAAACTGCACATACCACCGGGATTTAAGCAAGACTTATCAAGTAAATTGAGCAGAACATTATTTTATATCTACTATTTTTTATAAGTTCACAATTTGGAAATTGTGAAGGTAAATAGTGCAATGGCACCAGCGGCTGGCAATTGCTATCGTTCCTCTTGCACCACACCCGTGCGAGGCTGATCCTCTTTTCGGTTCTTTAAATATGAATTTTCGAGTTTTAACTTCTTTCTCGTGGCATACCCTACTGCAAAATGTTCACTCATTGTATAAACTAAGCTGTTCACCATTTCCTTCTACACCTTTCCCTTATCAACTTCCTTTTTTCAGTAAGTTCTGATTATGGTGTTGTCATACACATCTCTGGGCTGATTTATTCACTTTTTTCAGTTCTTCGTCGTTCCAACGGTGTTCACGGTGTGCTGTGTGATTTCTGGTCTGCTTGCAACTATGGTCATCCTGGGTAGGATGTTCAGCACCCCAATCGCTTATAAGGACTTCTTGAACATGAGAGAAGAGATGCTAAATCATCAGGGTATGTTAGATCAAACATTTCTTCGTTTTTGTATTTAACCTGTAGCCTAATCATAATTTTATAGACTTGGTCGATTCTGTGAAAAGACAGAGATCGTTTTCTGGAGCGTCGTCGATATCCGTCACTTCCGAAGACTATCTTCCAAAGCCTCTGTGCCGACGACATTCAGCCAGTTATACGAGCCTCTGCTCAAGACCACCGAGTGTAAATCGAAAATACAGCTATGCCTATACGCATTACAATGCTTGCGACTCCGATGAAGACGAGCAAAGTTCGCAGTAAACCCTGCTTTCGGCTCGCTTGCTGTTTGTATTTATTTTTTCTAAGCATTCTCAATGTAATCCATTCTCCTCAGTGCATTTCTACTCATCGACTACCTTATGACTGTTTTGCTCAATTTACACTTTTTTAATATCCGTCAGCAACGACCACCATGTTCATATCGTTCTCTGTAAAGTTATCCTCTCGTAGTAGTTTATTACGGGTTTATTTAGTTGTTTTTATTCCACAATAAAATTTATGTGTTTCGTAAGTTTTCTTAAAAATAGTGGAGTGAGTGGTATGAAATGCCTTGGTTTTCTTGCCTTAGAATCAGTGTCCCATCAGATTTGAGGCATACTAAGTTTTCACGGATGTCATCAGAGGGACCCCCTCATTAGGCCAGTATTTCCCTCCTAGGTCAAGAAAATTCCGTTCAAAGTTGGCGCGCTGGGCGAGTTGTCGGTTTCTTTCTGATCTTCAAACTAAATCTGAATCTGCAGTAGTACTCTTATGTGTCACAATGGACTCATGTCAGAAAGTGGATTTGTGAAGATCTGACATTTGAGAGGAAATAGTCGTGAATGGACACTGCGGACAAAATTTTGACGGTAATGATAGTTTAGTTCGCATTCTCAGAATTGCGCAAAGTATCTCTTCAAAACGAGTAGAAATTAATTCGAAGGACAATGTTAAACATACAGTCGATCTCTAAAATCTCGCGCATAAGTCTGCCCATCAAAAAGCATATTTTTGACTGAGCTTACGCAATTTTTATATGAAAGAAGATGGGTCTGCTGTAACATCAGTCAAAAGCTCTTGAGAGAGCTTCTTCGAATGCAATTGGTCCAAAATGAGGCTTTATCACCAGTAGATTAGGTTTTTAGCTCACGAAATATGCACTCGGCTGGAAGGAGATTTCGATAAAATAGCTCGTAGATATATCATTCGAAGACTTTTCGACCTCTCTTCGACGATATATGGCATTTCCCACTTAAGTTTAGCATCCTACTAACGCGATCTTCATCCTTTTGTTCAGAAGTAATCTGATGAAGCTCTCCAAGAGCATTTGAGTGTGTAGCAATTCCGATTCGCTGCAGTTTCTTCAAACTTCATCATTTGAGTTGAAAAAAGCCATAAACGCACTATCTCCAAGATTTTGAGGTAATTTGGATTATTTGCATTCGCGTTGAGTTGGATAACTTTAGCAGCGCTATACAAGACACTCAGTGATGATAATCTCACAAGTACGCTTGTATCGGTGGAATCCGGCCAAAACTGCGGGATTTGCGGGATTTAGTTATAACTTCTTCTAAAACAACTTCATTTGGAATCTGCAAGAAGATTTGGCTTCAGTTTGATGAGACGAATCTTTTAATATACTTTATGCCCGTAATCCATGGTGATACGGTAGAGATATGATACTACTCTGTTATTTTCAAAATTTGTTCGTAGGAGCAACAACAATCGATAATCTCATAACACATGCCAATACACTACAATGTACCATGGTCTAAGGGCATAATGTATACTGAAAGTTTCATCTAATCAATCTGAAGCCAAGTCTTTTTGCAGATTCCAAATTAAGTTGTTTAAGAAAAAGCTATAATTAAATCCCACAAATCCCGCAACTCCCGCAATTTTGGCAGGATTCCACCGATACAACTGGTTAGAGGACACTAGGTCGCCGTTAGGCTCCACCCACACGGACAAATAGTATGAGGCGATAATGGTGAAGGCGCGCGGTTTGTTGCAAATGTCCGTGTGGAACCGCCCATTTCGGCGACCTAATGTCCTCCTCTACCCAGATTCCATCGATACAATTGTAGTGTTGATCTGACAAGTGGGAATAAAGAAAAACGGAAAATGAAGAGCACTGTCAAGTTTTATCCCTCATTTGTCAAGTAACCTAAGGTACCTACATGTCAAATTCTTGCAGTTCAAAAAAGTTTGGGCCATACAGGAGCTTAAAAGCGTATCATTGCATTCACTCTCTAAGAACTGCATTTTTCAAAGTAAGTGTTCTACTCTGCGAAGAGTACTGGCGTTTATGAAATGTGACTAACAACCTTCAACAGGGAAATTCTATTTATATAATTATGTACAAGTCCAATGATAAACCTAGTGGAAAGAAACGTCAGGATATATTCACAGGCAGTGTAATGGCATAAACGCTAGCTTTTGACGCAGCCACTTTCGCTTTTCTGTGTTTGGAACGCCGTTCAAGACTAGCGTTTAATCGTTCTATATATGGGGTTGTAATGGCCAGCACTATCGGCAGCAGCACTAATGCATGGAAGACACCTGAAAAGGCGAGTTAGCGTTTTTTCCCAGTTTCCTAGAAGATAGCGTACCTATAATTAGCACGAGAAAGATGGTCTTGAAGAAGACGAGAACCATATACGAGTTTATGAAAGCCAAAACTGTGACTCCGAGAATAGTAGACATACTGCCGTGCACAACTAGAACATTAAAGAATTGATCCAAAGTTGTGTATTTAGATATTGTCATTTGTTCGAACTTCACACCCTCCCAACTCTCCAAAAATTCTGGTAAAAATTAAAGATTTTCTTTTGCGATGTGGAGTCTGAAATTGAATTTTGTGTCATGGACACAGAGTAAACAATAGCAAAACCTCTAAAAAGTGAAATGAAAAATTGTTTTCGATATCAACAGAATCACCACCATATCGATTTCAAATCTTAAATCTCACCTCTTTTTTCCAGTAAATTTCACGTCGCAGTTTTTTTAGTGCTCTTTTAAAGTCAGGTACCTCGTGAAAAAAAAAGATCGCTAAAACAAACCTGGCCAAGCGAGTTTCTCCATGGAATCTATACATCTTTCCTTCGGAGTCAAATTCCCTTCGTTACTTACAAATCCATGCGTAATATGTGCTGTAAATGGGAGAATATTCAGAAAAATGAATACAGGTATTTATTTGATGTTTTTGCAAGTTTCATTGCGATAAAATGAATATAGGGCAAAAATTACTTGTTCGCTTTCGAATAGTATGAGTTCAGAATATTTTAGCTTGCATTTTCGTGCAGAATATAAACAATTTTGACTCGAAATACTAAACTTCAAATACAGCAGAAATAGCGAGAATGAAAATCTTGAAGGAAATCAAAATCACATTGAAGGTATCATGTCGGAAAAATGTTTGTAAAGTCAACATACCCGAAAATTCTATAGAGAATCCGATGCTGAGAATTATCGTTATCATGAAAATAGGGTCGAGCTTCACGCCCCACAATGACAGAAAACCAATTACTCCTGAAATGGATTAGACAGATCTACTGTTCGTATAAATGCAGTTTGTGTGCAAAATCAAAGTGCTTAATTTATTTTCTCATGGTACTCACCAAGGTCTATGGTAATAATGGCAATAGTAATCCAAACAGCACACAACGGATTGGGAATGAACAGCAAACTGATAATAACCATACAGATGACTGCCAGAGAATCGTTTTGTATGGTCGATTGCAAGATTACATTCAACTAGAACAGCAGCGCTATAATCTTGAAAACTCTCGGAGCTTCTTACTTGATCGGCGATAGGACGACTATACTGGTAAGTGAAGATTTCGAGGTCCGGATATTTAGCAGCGAGGTCTCTCAGCTCCGAGGATACCATGACCAAGTCAGTAGGCGTTGATATATCGTTGAGTCCGATGCGGAAGCGGAATGAGACGAGGGAGAGATGGTCGTAGTCGGAGGTGTTGGCCCAAACGAAGTCCTGGGACCTACGAAGAACATTTTAGGTGCATTCAACAAAAATTTTGCTAACTCGGAAGTTGTGAAAAATATTCGTCCAAGAAAACTGACTACTATGAGTACTGTTTTACACTTACAAGGGAAGGATACATGGTCGAAGTGGCATTTCATCTTGAAATGTATACTGTCTTATAGAGCTTAGGATGCTGATTCCGAATCTGTCTTCGTTATCTGCCGAGCGCCTCTGGACGCCGAGTTATGAGCGTTCTTTGGGTTGAAAAATTGAATGCGTAATTAGAGCAAAATTCGTCAGAATTGCTCAAATGGTCCAATGTTGGTTATCAGAGCACTCCATTTCAAAGGATACCTTCTGCCCAAAACACTCATACTACATGTTGCTCTGTTTAGGCGCTGAAAAGTCCGTAATAGTCAATTTTACTTGAATTCTGCGTTCATTTTTCGCTCCAAAAAACATTTATAACTCGGCGTCCAAAGGCGCTCGGCAGATAACGAAGAAAGATTCGGAATCAGCGTTTAACGCTCTTCAAAATAGTATATGACCCATTTGAAAAGGCCACTTCGACTGATTCGACCTCCCTTGTTAGTTCAAGATGTAACAAGTGTCACATATCAGCACTACCGGTGAAACACAAAGGAGGTGATTTCTGATGAAAGTCGCTCTGGAGTTTTTGTGGAAAATGGTTGGGAAGCATTAACCAAGCCTTTTCCAAGTCGCAGCTTGTAAGTTTAGTTGCGGGCGAAATAACCAGCTTTGAACTTCTGCCCAGACCGTACTGTTTACCGTAATCGAAAAGATGTGTGCATGCTGATTCTTTATGTGGAAACTGGTTATGATATTCCAGCTGAGCCATGTCCGAGCGGTCGTTCATATGTTTCATTCGTAGACGGGAGACCTTGAAGGGAAATTCCAGCCCAGACCGTACTTTCTACCGCACTCAAGCACACCGATTGGCCCGTCCGGCAGTAGTACGGTCTAGGCTGGATTTTAGAGTCTATATTCTCGGCCATGGATGGATCATATGAGCTGCTCCTTAAAACCTTATTTAACTCCTCTCAACTGCTTTCTACATAGACCCACTTGCTTATGGTTGTTTACTGACTCCAAAACTGACCACAACTTGTAGAAAGCAAAAAGCTGTGACCATTCGTACACTCCAATCACCCACGATTCCCGGGTATCTTCCAGAAATGAGCCAGTCAGATTGGCGTATTTTATGTATTCTCGTAACCACAGTGAAGTACTTTTGGGACCGCTGCCTAGAAATTTTTTTTATCAAAAGGTTGCTACTCTACTTAATGGAATAATGCCCTACTGTAAGAGATCCGTTCGAATTGTTGAGCAATTCCCTCAACCAAACGTCTGTTCTCTGGATTTGTCATATCGGGAGCTTTTCTTATGGCCACTTCGACCTGAAGAATTCGCTAAAACTTTTCTGAAGCTTGCCAAAATGGTTGAATTCTTCCCAAACCTGATCCCCATTGGGGAACAATTCGATTTCTCTAGCGAATGCTTCCACAAGCGGATCAGTCTGAAGCAGCAGCTTGTCATAATCCAGACCTTGTTCCATAACACTTATACCATAAATGGAGATCTAAATGGAGCTAATTGTTAAAAAGCAAATCAAAAAAAGAATCGCTTAGTGCATAACGAAAAGCACTGATTGTTGGCAATTTTTTTTTTATAAAAAGACCTACCATTACATAGAGGATGAAAATAATAAATACAGCAATTTTTGTTCTGAGATCAAGTAGAAAGGGTACGTAGTAGTCTCTGAAAGATCAATCTGCTAGTGAATTAGAGTGATTGTGTTGATTAGTCTCTTACCTAAAGAAAAGACCCATTTTTCCACGATTTTTGAGCGCATATTGAGGTGCAACTGCAGGAAGAACAACCGATTTAATTATTGATTTTCCATTCTGTAAAAGTAAATGAGTAAATTACGGAAAAAATAAATTTTCCAACTTACTTTATGTCCATGAAGATTTTTATTGTGTGCACCCTTTTTGTGCTGGGTAGTTCCATTTGTAATAGCTAGATTCAATCCGTTTTTCACTGAATAATGTTACCAGTTGTTGAATTTCAAACTCCAAGTTCGATTAACCAACCTTTTTCTTTATTCTTCCTATTTTCACAGTATACACCATTCTTCTGAGGTAATTTCTTTATGACTTCGACATCCTGTGCGTGGATATCCCTGGCCTGAAAATGCAAGTTAAGCCGAAAAAAACGGGAAAAGGAAGTTAAGAACATTCTAACGATACGTCACCTTGTAGAAGTAAATCGGATTTACGGTAATTATTTCGAGCATAAACATGCTACCTAAGGATTTTTTTAGTATTCAAAGAAACAAAATTTAATTCGGTGATTAGTCACAGCTCCTTCAGAAAATACTCGGACCATATCTTCCTCTGACCTCTGATTGAATTGGGTATTATTCATGAGACTCGCTTTGAAGTTTACCAATGGATTCGCCGATTTTTTCACCAAATCTGTATTTATGAACACAGTTCTTATCTTAAAGCTGCCTTTAGCTTGAGATGCATATCTATCAAATGAATAAACGATCTTCTTCGCTTCAAAATTTTGCTCTTAGTTTTTCTCTATCTAATCTTGGACATTAAACTTCTTGCTAAATTAGTTGCTGTGGGCAGTACTTTCTGGAACGTCAAGAAGGAAGCTACCATAATTTCGATTTTATTTTTGAAGATTCACAGCGCATACCAGGGATCCCTTTGCTAGTTTAGTGCATATGCAAGAAGAATTTCCACCGTACCTTCAAACAAGGCAGACATGAGTTTCTTCCTGCGAGCTCCACCTTGGCAGACACGACCATTAGGCCAGCAAAGAAAGTAATCTAAACAAGGACTGTATATGAGAACAAGAGGGCTGGTCTTTCGTCAAAGACAACAAACTTCTACCCACCACTCAAGGCGAATTTATTCGTAAAATTGTTGAAACCCCTTTTTTCGCACACAGAATGTCCCAAACGTATGTATGTGATTGCTCGTTAATTCTTTCTTGTAAGAAGCCTTTTGCCGATCTCTAGGGACCATTCTATAGAACGGCTCCGGCTTAGATTTACAATATGAAGAGATCACCCATTCTTCTTCATTATTGTAGGATTACGGTAGGAACTCTGAAGAAAGCTGTAAGCTAAGGGCCCCATTTCGTCACATACAGTACATCCAATTAGAAATCCCTTACGCTAGGCCAACTAGAGTCGCTTCAAAAATGGAGTTTGCAACCGTAATGCTTCATTCATAAGTTATGCTGAGCATATCCTAACGACTGCAGAACGGCAGTGTCCACCAAATCTAACCCCCTCCGAGGGCCGATCCTGAATGTAGGCCCCACAAGGGGAGAATCTGCTTTGGTCCGGTCTTCTAATATTGTCTCTGAATGGAGATAAGGGGCCTGGAACAGCCAAAGTCTTATCAGGCCCCTCCCAGATCCTATCGGACTTCGCCCACCCATGTGCTGAAAGCTGCCCGCGCCCTTAAGACAGGGTCCTCAGGAATCGGGTTTTTTGGGGTTTTGGACTATTTGAACTTCATAACCGTAATCAGGGCCACGCAAAGGTCCCGGAATGGCAAAAACATGGGAGGCAAAATTTTGAGTGGACGCTGCCTTTGATGTGCCGTAAAGAGATTCAATGACCCGTAAAAATTGAACGATGAGATCAACTCGCTCGAAAATGCTTTACGCAACTTGTCAGATTTGAAAATTTTCAACTTTACATTAATGAAGAGCGATCGGTTTTCGCTCCATATACTTCAAATAAGCTGAATCAATTTACAGAATGATGCCTGAAGGTAGGCAAACCAAACAATGCACTTTTGGGACATCTTATGAGATACTCACTTGATATAGCCAGGTGAAGAACATACAAGTACATGTCATGGCACAAAATCCTTCGACGGCGATGATGTCAGTGAAAGTTCCGACACCAAATGACAGGACCTGTGAAAAGAAATATTACAGTCAATCCGTTAAGACTAATTTTGCTCGGAGAATCTTACATCTGTGATGGACGTGATAAAAATGGCCACGGAGCATTCACTCAGGGCTTCGACCATTCTTTTCTTTAACACTGCATGCGAGTTGCCTGATGAACAGAGTCCATAAGAAGATGGAAAGTTTCACCAGATATCAATACCTGGGTATTTCAGCTCGGTATTATGCCAGGCGGCGACAGCAATGAACATATCATCTACTCCTATTGCTGAAAAATACGATTCGGGTCTTGGAAGATAAAAGTGTCCCGAAATCTCCTTACAAAGCACTAAAAATGGAGCAACAAGGGTAATCTCAGCGAAGAACATTCCACACCAAAGGTTGAGACCGATACCGCTGGAACAAGAAATTTTATTTATATAATGACTAGCCCAAAATGGCTCATACCTCATGATAGCCAGGCCCGAAGATAGAACTCCTCCAAGAGCAAGTATCGGCTTTGAACGCAGCCAATCTATTCCGACTGAAATCCTTGGCATTACAGTTGACTTGGAAACTGGGCTCCTTAAAACTTACCAAGCCACTGGTCATTCTTTTTTCGAATGTTCCATTTCATGGAGTAAAATGACGTGAATGCGATTAGCACAATCACAGTCACGGCAAAGTAAGGCTTCAATCGATTTGCGTTGTTAGTCAGTCCTTGGTCAACTATTCGGGAATGTTTGATGTGACACTAAATGTGATTGAAATCCACAAAAGATATGGATCAAAGTTGAAAAAAAGAGCACACAGCAAGTCAGAAATTCTAAACAGATTCAAAGTATTAGGTTGTCCGGAAGTTAATGCAGGTTTTAATTTCCAACCGCAATAAGTCATACATTTTTTAATTTTGAATAGGTTGCAAGGTACAGTTCGATAGAGCAAAGCAAGCTCTACAAGATGGCTATCTTGCTTTAGCAACAGCTCTGATCCACCACGAGTTTCAAGCCAAAAACTAAAAAGAATCAACTGCCCGGAAAATTGAAAAAAAATCGTAACTCAGTTCGTAAAAATCCTACAAAATTTCTAACTTCCTTTCGTAAACACAATCCACATAAGGCATCTATATACGCCGTTGCCGTATTTTTTCCTCTGTTAGAAATCAGGAAAACGGAAATTTTCGTCCATTCGCTAAAATGGTGCTGTGCCGTTCGCACATAGGTAGTTGTATACTACAAACGTTTAATAGTACAAACGTAAATTTCCAGCTCTCTACAAGCTTTAGTTCGCGAGAAATTTGAATTTGGACTTAGAATACCTGACTAGGAAAGCCATATTCGATATTTCTCGAGAACCAAAGCTTATAGAGAGCTGGAAATTTACGTTTGTACTTTTAAAGGTTTGTAGTATACAGCTACCTATGTGCGAACGGCACAGCACCACTTTAGCAAATGGGCGAAAATTTCAGTTTTCCTGATTTCTAACAGAGAAAAAAATACGGCAACGGCGTATATAGATGCCTCATGTGGATTGTGTTTACGTGAGCAAGTTAGAATTTTTGTAGGATTTTTAGGAACTGAGTTACGATTTTTCTCAATTTTTCGGGCAGTTGAATTTTTTTAGTTTTTGGCTCGAAACTCGAGGTGGATCAGAGCTGTTGCTAAAGCAAGATAGCCATCTTATAGAGCTTGCTTTGCTCTATCGAATGATATTTTACAATCTACTTAGAATAAGAAGTGTATGACTTATTGCGGTTGGAATTTAAAACCTGCATTAATTTCCGGACAACCTAATACTAGCCATTCTAAATGAGTTCGCTACCCAAAGAAAAATCTCCAGTTTAACACACCTTGATCAGTGGGTTGTTGTCATATTTACTTCGTACATGTCTCGTAGCTGCTTCTTCCCATTCTTTCGCCATTTCATCATAATTTGGCGTATCGAAGCGAAGGAAGAACCATAGTCTCATGGCGCGAGCGGTCTAAAATCGCTGGTGATATTATTTGGTTAAAAAATATGTTCCTTTTGGCATGCAAATCTTAATAAAAAAATTTTGTTGTTTTCTGTCCAGGATTTTTTATGAAATAGCTCAAATCTTCCTCTATCATCTTTCAAATATTCAAGATATTCTATTATCAGTAAAAGAAAGTTATGCCTCAACATGGCTAGACTTCCAAAAGCTCGATTCTTTGGCTTCTAAGCTTCGTTGTCATGCTGTAATGGATTTAAAGAACAGTAATTTGGTTGAATAGAGAGGAATTTTCCCTATTTAGTGAATAACAATAAAAATTGTTATTCACTAAATATTCACTAAACCGCGAAAACGGCGCGTATAGCACCACAACAACATCTTTTGCTGCTATGCCATTTCCGCGACTCCTCTTCAAACTGCAGGAGCCTAATGGTATGGTAGACACACAGTTTCGGGTGCTTGCAACGTCTGTATTCTCCATTCTCAGTAGGTGCCGCAGAAACCGCGAAAATATTAGGTTGTCCCGAAAGTTTAGTCCGTTTTTTCAAACCATTATAAAACCATGCACAATGAAGACCTGAAGGAGCTTTAACATGCATTCGATGCAGCTTTTCCTTCTCTTTTTAAAGGTTACATTTTCGAACCAAAATTCTGTATGCTTTTTCTGATAATTGCTAAAATTCTTCACCTGTCATTTTTATCTCCTCAAAGTTCAGTTAATTTCTGAAAATTTCATTCTGTGGTTGCGGAGAAGTTCAAGTATGGCTCAAACAAAGCAATTCTCGGACTATATGGCCATATTTTAAGATTCCCCAATCTGCTGTTTTAGCTGCAAAAAATTATTTCTTCGAAAGTCTTCATTTTTGATAAAGTCATAAAACCCGCAACTGCAGCAAAAACATGAAGACTCGCTAAGTTTTCGCAAATTGAAACATGTTTTTTATTAAACAATATTTATGCAGCATAAAGGAGTTTGATTTGCTTCAAGAATCTGCTTTTTGGAATTTCCGGTAATCTTACATGGTAAAAATAATCAAAAAGCCGCGGTTTTTCTTTAATAAATAATCATTACGGACCTGGTAAACGTGGTCTACTCAATCTAAAATAGGCACATTGTAGCCAAAGGTTTGCCCTACTCAACAGTCATCAGCTCTCTTTGAGAAAATCAGTATGAAGATTTTTAAAAATTAGAAAAGATTTGGCGTTACTGCTAATGTGCTCAAAAATCCATGGCGATAACATCGCAAAGACAGGGTAGCTCAGAGACCAATTAAAGCTGTAAGAAAGAGCATGAAAATACGAATCAAATGGTTTCTAGGTCGTCCGTGAATTAGTGTTCTGTGAGTTTTAGTGGGCGATGAAAAAAACCGACAAAACTTTCGGGACAACCTAATAGTAATTTAACACTTGCGCAGCGCCGCCGCCTACGCGAAATCCATGATCTGTGCAATGAATGGGGAAGATCAAAGTTTCTGTTAGCGATAATGGAGGGGAATTCGTGGTCGTTTCACGTGAATTAGACATGGCAATCACGAGGCATCATCTGGCAGATGATACTGTGTATCAACCTTCATCCGCAGATGAGTTCAAAAAACAATATCGTCGTCTCAATAGGGTATGGGTAGAGGCAGCACACTCTGCAGGTTTACCAAAGCACATTGTAGTGCGTCTTAAGAGCGAAATACCATCCTGTCCAGTTTTGTACATACTTATCAAAACGCACAAGCCACCCGCTGCAGGACTCACTTAAAATAATGCCAGCGACTTCAAGGTTAGGCCCATAATCAGCAGTGTGGGAGGTCCGACCGATAGGATAGCATGGTTTGTAAATCTAGTCTTGGCGCAGCTTTTACAGTATGTTCCTGCACACCTCACCAACACCAGCATGCTACTCGACCGCCTTCGCGATGCGCAGTTTAGCCCGAGTTCTGTTATAGAATCGTTTGACGTTACCTCATTATATACTAACGTGTTAAACGATGCTGCATTGCAGGCTGTCTGCAAGCTTCTATCGCAGCATCAGTCCTCGCTTCACCTGTATGGTTTCAGCATAAACACCATAATGACCCTGCTACAGGAGTGTCTGCATTGTAACGTTTTTCGATGGTGCGGCCATTATTATAAGCAGGTACGAGGCTTAGCAATGGGGCAACTCTTAGCGCCTACATTAGCCATTGCTTTTATGTCTAAGGTAGAAGCGCCGGTACTGGATCGGAAGCCACTGCTTCATTGCCGTTACATAGATGACTGTTGCATTATTTGCCCCACACAGACTGAGATGGACAGATGCTTCAGCATTTTCAACGAGAAATTTCCTAGCATAAAGTTTACGAGGGAAATCTCACGAAATTGGCTTCCATACCTCAACGTTCAAACTTACCTATCGCGCGGGGAGTATAAAACCAAGTGGCATCGCAGACCTGCCTGCAAGAATATTTTGGTGCATTCGTCTGCGCACCCTCGCAGGATCAAGAATTCCATGATTACAAGCACGTTCAGGGCGGCTGCTCGCGTTTCAGCTGGTGGCCACGGGTGCTCTGTGTCGTTGCCTTTGGCTCAGTTGCTCGATCGAGCGGGTACTGTGGCGATGCACCGCGGTCGCGCGGCTCTGTGGGCAGTAGGGCTTGTCCAGCTTCCATAGCAGACAAGATGCCCTTTTGCTTGCCGTTTGTTTCGGACTAATTTAGCAGGGCAGTGCGGCGATGCGTACATCGCGCAGGTTTGCAAGAGGCCGTCGGAGTGGTCGATATACCGCCTCCAGACCTGGAGCGGTAACTGGTTCGCAACCGTATGTATGACCGTATCTGTTTGACCTCAGGCTGTGTAGTATGCCCATATAGCAAAGAGGGTGACTGTATGGTGTCAGGAGTAATCTATCAGATCACATGTTTATCACGTGGCGACACCTACGTCGGAAAAACCGGCCGCCCTCTTTGTGTTCGTGTCAAAGAACATCTAGATGGGCTAAAAGTCAAAGCCCTCCACACCTCTGGGGGCAACATCGTGGAACACGCCACGAAAACGCTGAAGTTCAAATTGGAGTGAAGATCTTGTCAATTGAGCCCGAAATCCTAGCCCGCAAAACGTTGAAAGCGTTTTGGATAGCAGCTAAAAATCCAAAAATGAACAGAAAAGACGAGTGCATCGCGATCACCACCGAGCTCGCACCTTATCAATCCCTCTGTGGTTTTGCATAAGGTCAGGTCACGTTGGCGTATAAAAGTGAGGTCGAGGCACAGTTTGGCATAAGGTGGTCTGTTTTTCAACTACCGCTTGTGCTACGTCTGAGCTGAGTAAAAAGTGTTTCTGGTTCTGATTCTGCTCTCTAGACTAATCTTCTTTTCGATTTTGCTTCGTCTTTGTTCTTGACGTCTGACCGCATAGTCACTTATGACTTCGACTTTCCAGGCTCCGAAACAGGCGTTGAACGCCGAAACATCGACGTCGGCCAATAAAGTATTGTTACCAATCTTGACAGTGGTCGGAAACTACATCTTCAAGTGATTATCATGCCAAGATTCAAGCACAACAACAATGCCGGTGATAAAATTGTGATCTGTCATTCTGAACTTTTATAAAAAGCCAAACTCCCCCATATTTTGTATACTATGAGAAAAAAGGATTTCTCACTTTTTGCGACTTTTTTTCCTTGGAAGATAGTTCTTTTCAAACAACATTCATATTCCAATTTCTGGACAATAAGTTTTTTGTCTGTGTAAAATCTTGTAGCAACTTGTCGATTGAAAGTTCTGTCCAATTTTCGAAACAAAGCACCTATTGGCTTTCTCGCTAGTTCAAACACTTTAAGGAACGATGTGCACATTGAAAATTGTGAAATTGCCCATAACCTGGTTTATAAAATATCAAAATATGTCGCAGTGAGCTTGCCCGCATTTTTATTTGTTACAAATTTACGAGCTTCAGTAGCTAGCTCATTACCTTTATAGTGTCGTTCGGGTATGTCTCAACTCCACCTATATTGAAAGCTAGGTAGATTGGGGTTCCACCGGGATTGGCTTGCGGATAGCTAACTAGTATTCCTCTGAAACGATATGATATTACGAACTACAACATTTTGTCAACTAGATTGTTTACTCTGCTTACCGAGCATTCAGCTCGTGTCGGCGCTTCAGCAAAGTAATAATGTTCCTTTGCCTGTAGCATTCACCATACCAGTTCATGCAGATGTCCTGAAAGCAATCATGTCCCCATCCATTACAAGGAGGACGTCAATAACAAAGTTTACCTGGAAGGTGACGGTATCATTAATGCTCAACGTGTCATTATCCCTCCATCGCTCATTCATCGGGAAAGTCACATTGGCAGCGACATCGGATTCTAGCCGTTCGATTTCATCCAGGTAGGACCCTAAAAGCTTTTAGGGTTAATTTTCAAATGCTACAATTTATCTAAATTCTTGTACCTTCCAGTAAATTAGGGTAAGTCTCGTTCGCGGTGGGACGGCCATGAACGACGAGGTACAGGTATCGATGCCATTCAAAGGTTCGTTCCGGCAAGAACTCATGCGGCTTTATTGGCCAGAGCTAAAATTGCACAGTTCGAATGCGATCACATTCGATCATCCTAATCTCAAGTCTATCACGAGATTGAATCACCAGAGGTTCCCAAACAATGCAAAAATTAGCCAACCATAGCAAATTTTTTAAAATCCTCTTGTGTTTTCCAAACCACCTTTTAGTCCGGGTCAACCCTCCAAAAAATGAAATATAATAGTCTATTTAGGTCGACAAAACTTAAGCACTTAATTTTTCGTGGAATATTTAGTTACCGCAGGCAATGTCTGATGTGTGAGTGTGGCTTTTGAACATCTAATTTTCAATCAAAAAAGGAAATGAATTACAGTGTAAAACCATCGCAAACATGCCATTCATTTTTTCAGCTTTTTGGTCAAAGAAAGAAAGATGCTGCAAAGTGTAAGACCTCTGATGATGCATTTTTCTGACTTTAGTCAGCTAAACCATACATTGCAGAAAATACATACCTCATTCATAATTCTTTCTTCCTCCCATGATGGAGCACCAACTGGAGTATATAACCTAGATCATAATTGAAAATCGCGCACTAAATTTTTTGAAATGAAGAGTACTTACTTCCTTGCATCTAGAACAGTTAACTCCTCTATCCATAAAAACCCGCATCCAAGTACTGAGGTCAGCAATATAGGTGCAATAATGAAGAACTGAAATGAGCAATATGTTTCTATAAAATGAACAATCACGGCCGATTTGTTGGGATGGAATTTTTCAGAATTGTTCCAGCAAATTGTCAAATGCTATATCAATGGTGAATTATCGCGCAAACTCCGAGGACTACATACGGTTTCAATTTCCAAGAAAATAATCCTCTTGACCTTCTGCGTGCCAAGAAATGGATAAAAACTCACAATATAATAGTCAACTAGTAGATTCTGCGTGTACCATCGAAAAAGTCTCTCCAGTGGCTTGTCGAGCGTTGGAAAGACACATCTCATTACTCGACCTCAGTATTTTCCAACTTGTTGATCGTCAAGTTTGCTGAAAAAGTCAGCACTGTCAGATCACGAACAAAATCTTCAAGTATATAATACCATGTTTAACAACATTGAAAGTAAGGAATACGCTGCCAAACAATAAAAATAAAGAAAACGGTCAGTAAGCAAATAATGTTAGGTGTCAAGAAACCAATGTCGGTTTATATTTTCTTGCTATGGAACCTCAACGAGTGAGCCCCGAGAACGTCTGAGGGTACTGTTTAATAGAGCAAAGCAAACTTTACTAAAGGTATTGGATTTCCGCGCAATGTTCCACTTGAAGTTAAAAATAAAATCTCAGGAGTTCTAAATGTTAAAAAACGAAAACGAAAAAAATCGGATCTCTGTCCAGAAACTTTCTACGGATCTCCCACTTGCATACATTTATACTATCAACATCAGACGTTCAAATACACAGTTGCCGTATTTTTCCTTTGATTAGAGGTGGAGAAATCAGAAAATTTTCTTATTTTTTCAAGACAATGCTGGGCTGTTCTCACATGAGTAATTAGGAAGCTTTTGCAAATATAACTGTAAATTTTCAGCTTTTCAAGGCTAGTTTTCGAAAAATTCTAATTTAAGCAAAAAGACAGGAGAGAGCTAAATTTGGTAGTTTAATAAAACTAAGATTTGGAAAAGCTGAAAATTTTCAGTTATACTTATTAAAGCTTGCAGGAAAGAATTGTATAATCATCACGCACCATTAGGCCCTCGCCCCTGGTTGCCGTGCCATAGCAAGTATATAAAAACCGTCATTATTTTCTTGACAACCCAATAATAGCAGTTATTCCGATTTCAAACAACGTGATATTCTCCCTACCCCTTAAGCATAATGTGAAGGTCCTATTGTAAAACCTCAGTGTGGATAAAATGGATGCCAACATAACACACTTCAGAAAAACAAATTGCGTATTTACCTATCGATGATTAAAAGATTTCTGCCATGTGGTGCAATCAAGTTTGATCGCATTTCGACGAAATTTATGAGGTTAAATTGTTAACACTCTCGAAACACCACGATGGAAGGATAGATTGAAAACGATTTCAAAGTCGGTTACTGCAGTCTCTACTAATAGAATAGCTTAGTTTAAAAAAACCATAATTATTCGAATTAGTTCATTCTTCAATCTGGCTTAAAATAAAAATAATTACTTGAGTCGGTTCGTTTCTAATGAGGTAAAGTTTGAAAGGTCATTTAGAAGGTTTGTGAAAAAACTTCAAAATAATTTTAGAGTATCTTATTTATTACACTGACTCATTGAAAATGAAAGACCAATTATGCATGGGAATGCGGAGAACTTTTTAAGACATCACTTTTCCACTATGAAGGGCAACTGCTGCTGATAGAATAATCAGGAATAAAGCCTGCCTAATTGAATGCTTAAAATCCAAATGATAGCAAGAAAAGTGGGATTCTGAGGATTAGTACGATAATGCCCATATCAGTATAAGCTTTACATCTTCAAAAAAGTAAGAGATGAGGTCATCTTGAAGAGAGCACAATTCACGATCAGAAGCAGGAAGAATTATAATAGTCCAACTGGCTAACGGACAGTCGTATGGAAATGGGTAGTAAATACTGTTTGCGAATGAGCTTGTTTTCTGGAAGTGTATTACGAGAATATTATTGATTGCACAAACTTCGATATTTGAGGAGCCGATTATAGGAAGACAAAAATAAAAGTTTTGTTTTGCTTGCAGCCAGAAGTCATGTGCGAGTTAAAAAGTATCGAGATGCAATATCCTACATTCTAGTGACTGCCAAATGCAACTTCGCTAAAATGTTTGTAGAGAAGAAATCCAGCGCAAAACAGCAATACTTCTGGAAGGAGAACCTATGTTCAATGGTGAGCATTTGTCACTATGTCGTAAGAATTTCCTACTACAACTCAGACCATTGCACGTCATCAAAATTTCTTCGTAGCGTGAACAATGTTCCTTGAAAGGAAATTGATTGATAAGTGCAAGTGGTGAGCGTCAAGTAACTTGTTCCTAAGCCTCCTTGATGTATGTACATGCATTTTGCAGCCGGTCTCAAGTTCTTGAGAGCTGTACTCGAACGTTTTGCCGATTAAGTTTTTGCCGTCATCAGTTTATGTGAACGTAGAAAGTTACAAAGCAATCTATCTCTACATAGCTTCGCATCGATATCATAAAAATTAAACTTCGATAGCAGAATGCATTAACTTATCCAAGTTGTACTTTGATTGGATGTTTCAGATTATTCTTGATACATAGTGTACATTCATATTCCGTGTGTTGGGAATACTTCATTGAGTCCAATAACTTTACTCAGCACTATTTTCGTCAGGTCTCCTGTAAAGCCCAAAGAAGAGTTGATGTTGGAATGGCTCGGCTCGAAATGAAACCGCGGACTTTTTGTAACGAAGTTTCTCTTAAGTCTCGCAAGATTCTCACTAATCCTCTACGTTTTCAAAGGCACTAGCCGGCGAAACTGAGCATCTTGGAAATTTGAACATCGTACATAGATTGCTTACAGACACCAGATATGAAAACAGGGCAAATCCTAGCGCCCAGCATGCTATTGCAGTCGGAAAACTTGGCGCTCAAGCCTATGCGCGCACACCATTCTTCGTCCACCCAGATTCTCGACTTCCACGATTCAATCGCTCCGGGGCCTTCCCATGTGCCTGAATTCGAATAAAATCAAGAACCTGAAAACCCCGAAATCCCCGTTCCGGAGAACCCGCCGGCGGGCTTTCCGGAACGGTGATTGGATGGGCGCGCACGGGCGCGCACGGATGGGCGGGCATTACTGGAGGGGGCAGTGCCGACTTAAGGTTCTCATGCATCTTCGCTACTCCAAAGCAATTTCATCGCTTCCTCGACTCGGTTTGGGCATTGGCTTAAGAGGAGGTCTAAGCTGCCAAAAGCTCAAAACCCCTAACTTAGGTGGACGGTGCCTTTAACAGACTGACAAGCTCGATTTCGCTCCCCACTCGGAGGCGGTGCCTCAATGCTGTATCCTTACAGATCCCACAACGACTCTGCTCTCCAACCTCTGTTCACTAGTTGAAATCCAAATTGAAACGCTCCAAGAAATGGTGGTTTTACCACCTTCGCAGAGCCCTAATGTGATTTGGATTCGGAGTCAAAATTTCAAACCACGGTTTTTACCATGTCCAAATTTAGCAAATTCTTGGAATGTTTCATTTCAAATTTCTGGAAGAGCTTTGGTAACAGCTAAATAGAGTAAATAAAGTGCAATACAAAATTCTTTTTGGCGCTGAGTATTTCAATTTCTTGCACAACTCTTCACTTTCGCGAAAATGTTGCACTCACGAGGGAAGGATGGTTGGTCGAAGTGGCCTTTTGAGATGGTTGTACACCATATTGGAGGGCATAAAACGCTGATTCCAAATCTGTCTTCCTTATCTGCGGCGCATTCCTGCACCAGAAGTTATGAACGATTATTAGAGAAAAAATTAAATATACAAATAATATAAAAACAGTAGTAACATTTTTCTAGCGCTCATATGGACCAATAGCAATCTTTCCAGCACTCTATGAGATCAATACTCTTAGATGAGTTATATTTGCACTCCGGTTGTCTAACTCAAGCGCTGGGAAATTTTTTGCAACTGTTTTTATCCCAGAAAAACATTCATTTTGTTGCTCCTTTAAATGCTCATAACTCCTCGTCCAGGAATGCGCCGCAGATAAGGAGAACAGATTTGGAATCAGCATTTTGCGCCCATCAATATCGTATACAAATTATCGCAAAAGGTCACTTCGACTGACCATCCTGTCAGAATCTGAAAGTTGCAAGGCAAACATTCAACATCAGCGTTCAAAATCAATTTGACGAAGCAAACGAGTGTTTGCGGTCTCGATATATTAAATTTTGAAAATCTAAGTACAGGCATTGGCTTATAGAACTATGATATTTTTATCCGCTAAGGCCTCATGAATCGGTAAGAAAAAAAACGACTATCGAAAATAAAGGAAGAAGCTCCACTAAATGACACCCGAGTTGCTCGTGATCGATGATCGGTCAGATTTGAAAAGAAAATGGAATTGTTAACACCAAGAAAAATAATGCCAAAAATTGCAAAGAGCCAGCTGGAGAAACCATTTGCGTTGTGTTTTGTTTACTTTTTTTAGTCTACTCAACTATCCTTCAGAAGTCTGAAAAGTTTTGAAAATTTGCTAAAGGATATTTATTTTATCTTTCGCGCCTTTGCAATCACTTTGTGAGTGCAAATGTATTTTCGTTCTTCGTTTTCTAACTGTGACTGTACATGAACTTTTTTAGTATGATTGAGACGCTCTATCAATTACTCATGACATTTTACACGCTCTCTTTCACTTTGATGTGATAGCAAAAAACACAAGGTTTCCACAGTTTTCAAAGCAAGACGCTGAAACACATTTCTTTTTCAGAGGGCTCACTTAGTGCATAGCCAAAATGAATTTAATTTATGCTCAAGTGTATCAGCGCATTCGAGTATCAATTCTATCATTATATCCAGATTGAGGGGCTGAACGTTTGTTTGCGTTCACGTTCAGTACTTTCTGGAGAGGCAACCCTTAATCTAATTTGCTTTCGAAATTATATGGAAGGACTAAGATAGAAAAAGATTAGCAATCTATGTGGATATCACATTTACGTCCTCACTTTGATTCTTCGAGGCATGAGTGCTTGCCATTCAGCTTGTGTTTCACTTGTATGTACTACAATAGTTTATCGTCTCGGGAAAGTAAAGGAAGAAGACGGGGGAAAAGACATAGGAGTGGGACTTAATGCTGATCAAAAGACGTCTCCCGAGCAAGGCGTATTCATCCCGAGCACTACTGACAAAAGAAGAGCGTTTAGTCGAAGTGGCGTTTCCACATGAAATGTATGAAGTCTTATAGAGCATGGACTTCAAGCCTGCTTTCGGTACTTGCAGAGCAATTCTGGAAGGAGTTATAGAACGCAAAAATTAAAACGCGCAGCT